GCAATACATTTTTTTTTAAGACAGGGTTTCTTTGTGTAGCATTGGCTGTCCTAGAACTAACTCTGTAGACCAGGCTGTCCTCAAACACACAGAGATCTGCCTGCCTCTGCCTCCCAAGTGCTAGGATTAAAGGCGTAGGCCACCACCACCCGGCCTATCTTAATACATTTTTAGAAGATAGAAATAATACAAAACATGCTCTGCCACTAAAATAAAATGAAATTAATAACTAAAACAGGCACAAACTGGTCAACTCACAAATATATGGAAATTAAAACCAGATCGCTTGGCATTTTTAACTCATGTTTTATGTATGTATAGAGTGTTTGCCTTCCTCTCCTACAACTAGAAAGCTCTTTGGAGGCAGCAACTCTGCCTACTTTGACTGCCACTGTACCTCGAGGATATGTATTATCTCACAGAAAGCAGGAGTTAGACATGTACAGGGGTGTGAATGACTGAAGGTTAATGCATAATTTCTGTGAGAATGGGGATTCACTCATTAATCTGTCTATCCTACAAATACTTATTTAACATTTATGTGCCAGATCTTGGGGATTTAACAGCTAAAACAAAATTCATGCCTTGTGAAGATTACTTTCTGGAGGGTATGGCAGATAATAAATGGATAATCAACTAAGTCTGTTTTCCTCTGCTATAACAGAATACCTAAGATTGAGTAACTTACAAAGAATAAAGGTTTAATTTGGGCTCACAGTTCTGAGGGTTAGGAAGTCCAAAACACAATGCATCTCAGCAGATGACAGTCAAGAGCCTTGTAATAGGTCTTGGCAGGGCAGAAGAGAAGAAAGGCAAGAAGGCTTAAGGAAGAGGCAAAATAAGAGGGATTGCTTTGCTTTATAATTAACTATTTCATGAGAATGATTTCTTTCCCCTGAGGTATCAATCTCTTTCAATTACCTAATACTGGTAATCAATTTCAACATGAGTATTTTGTTTGTTTGTTTGTTTTGAGACAGAGTTTCTCTAATGTAACCCTCCCTGGCTGTCCTGGATCTCTCTCTGTAGACCAAGTTGGCCTTGAACTCACAGAGATCTGCCTGCCTCTGCCTCCTGAGTGCTGGGATTAAAGATATGTGCCACCACTGCCAGCTCAACACAAGTTTTTGAGGGGACAAATAATATCCAAACTACAGCAACAAAGAAACGGTTGCTCTCCGGAGGTGGAAGGTGCCCTGCTGCTGAAGACGCCATGCACTTCAGACACAGTGCCCAGAGGAGCTGAGCTGGATCTGACTGAAAGCTTCCTCCCTGAGGACTAGCTTTCGTGGTTCCAGAAAGAACCATGCAAGCTTCCATGAGAAGCAAATAGTCTTACCCAGCTTCAACATCTATGAAACACAACAACCAGCAAGGCACAATAACGCTATGAGGCAATAGTGGCATGCATACCTTGGTGGTAACCAACAGCTCTCTGATTGGAGTTAAAGCCTGATCAACAAAGGGGAAATCATGTCTGATACTGGAAACTTAGCCAATTATCCAGGGTCAGGGTCAGTGAAGTCATGAATCTTAGACAGGAATCTACAACTACCCCTTAACTAAATTAACATACTTTCTAACTACATTTAAAATATCTATACTCATAGGTAAGTGTAGCTCTTGACAGACTGCCTTGGTTGTAAACACAGATTTACTATGAGGTTACAGCTGGCCTTGCTCAAACCATTATTGATGAGCCACGGGAAGGAAATGTTTTGCTGAGACAGCCAGTCTCCCAAGATAGGTTGTCACCATTGAGATAATACCAGAAGGATGCAAACTCACATATACCCCCCCTGGAGCTGCATTAACTTCCTCACCCCCAAGTCTCTATTTAAATTTCAAGCAGTCCCTTTCCTTCTCACAGATACCGCTTTCCTGTAGGAGAGTGTCTGTCCTTTGTTGTTTGAAATGAACAGTCTCATCTGTTGAGGTCAGACTCTGGTCCCTTTCTGCCTTCTTTCTCTTTACTATGAGCTCTGAAATCTAACAGTTCTCACCCCCTTATCAAAGAGACCTCTTTTTGCAACAGACAAAACCATTACAGAAAATTACAATTGATTTGAAATACAAAGAACAAGAGATGGGGGGGGGGGGGCAGGGAGGAGGCAGAAATTTTTAATAAAAAAAATTTAATAAAAAGACATAAAAAAAAGAACAAGAGATTGTGCAGTGCACAGTCCCAGCCAGTACACCTGTAACACAATTCCTGCTTCTTAGATTCAGGGCTCATTGTACAAGGACAGAAAGACTGAAAGAACAAGAGGAACAGGAACTTTGCCGTGAGATTGTGTCTCCTAGAAAAGCCAGAGGCTACACCCATGAAGTTTCATCAATATGGCTGCCTAGATAAGACCTAACAATAACAACACGAACGGACATGCTAACACAGGAAGACAGACATGCTAACACAGAAAGACAGACATGCTAACACAGAAAGATGAAAGCTCACAGGCCTCTACCCTGTACAAGGAACTACATGTAACTGGGAAAACTGAGAGTGGGGGAAATGGTTTTCCTCAGGGAAGAGCCCTCCAACTGGTTATTCAAAACCAAGTGGTCAGCTTTGAGGTCATATACACGCAAGTAATATTATATGGACTGAGAAGGTTGTATTTACTCATTTAGGAATATATATATATATATGTGTGTGTGTGTGTGTGTGTGCGTGTGTATATATACATAAAGCATATGTACGCATCTAATAACAATAAAATAAAAAGTCATGAATTTAAGAGACAGCAAGGGAGGTACAAAGAGGGGCTGGAGGGAGGAAAAGGATGAAGGGTGATGAGATTACAATTTCAAAAAGCATAAAATTAGAAAAAACCAATGGAGGCTATTACAGAGTATTGATGGATGCCTCTCCACCTAATACATGAACAAATGGAGAGAGCGAGCCATGAAATGTCTGGGAAAAGAATGTTTTGAGTAGCAGCAATGACAGAGGCAAAGGTTTCAAATCTAGAACATCAATCAGAGGCCCTGGGGCTGGATGTCAGGGTAAGGCAGGGTATATATGAAGAAAAACCACGACCTCAGTTAGGAAATGAGTATAGTTATCCAGATGAGCAGGGGGAAACATGCAATGATTTAAAAACTGGGGGAGGAAGCATAAGCTGTTTACACCGGAACTCCATTGGCTGTAGATAGGAGGGGCAGGGCAGTGCAAAAGTGTCTGTGGCAGGGAGACTTTGTGGCAGGAGAGGATGCTAACTTCTAAGAAATAAGCGTTGTTTCTGGTTTGGGTTAACAGTACAAAAAAATGTATAGGTAAGAGGGTAATCCGGCCTCGGTGGAATGCTATGCAAGCGTTTGAGTCACACTTTCAAGACAGTCTTTCCGATAACTGAAAGTTTATCTCCTCTACTACATCCTCTCGCCTTAGCAGTGGTACCTGATTCCAGCCTGATTTAGGTTAGCAACAGTATCAGCGGGAGTGTGAAAGTTAGATAAAGATAGTGGTTTGGGATTTGAACCCAAGATTGGTTAGTTTTCCTATGAATGGCAGCTTCATAGTGAGTCGTTCATCAGCTAGTTCTGAAAAGAGTTTCTCCATGGCGGGTAGGACCCCCACATGCCCAAACACATAAATACAGAAACAAAACAAATACTGCCCTTGAAATTTAAAATTTAAAACTCGCTGGGCAGTGGTGACACATGCCTTTAGTCCCAGTACTCTGGAAGCAGAGGCAGATGAATCTTTGAGTTCCAGGTCAGCCTCGTTTACAGAGTGAGTTCTAGGACAGCCAGGGCTACAAAGAGTCGGGGGAGGAGGATATTAAAACTCAATTATTTTAATTTCTCTCTAACTCCAGATTCCTCCCAAGTAAGAATGTCTTAAGTCAAATCACAAGTTCTCTACAGACAGTGGTATATTCACATATGCTCATGAAAACATAAGGGCATTAAACGCTTAACAGGTCACTAAAAGAACGACACGAATTGAATTTTGTAATGCTGTACATATGAATAATTGCATATCTTTTTTTTAATTGAGGAAGAAAGGAAAACATATACACATCAAACATCTCATCATCCAAACCACGCAGTCTGGTTCAATTCATACACTAAGGAATGGTGAGAAAACGACAAAAAGATTCCGTACTCATGTAAAACAAGTTGCCTCACTCCAACACACAAAAGGTTCCATTTCCAACTTGAGCTGTGATTTTTCTCACAAAAATCTGAGCCAAGATTTACTGATTATAGTGGCATCCGATACCACATTACCTGACGTTTTCTATAGAATACAAATGAGGTTGTGTAATCCACTACCTATCTAGTCTGGGAAGATTTAATCTTTCTTTACCATAGACACTGGACCTAAGTTTGGCTCTTAAAAGGATCCTTTGTTTCACACCCAAGTTTGGCTCCCACGTACTGTCAGCATCACCAAGCTGGGGTGATGAAAACTGAACCCACTCCACTTGCCTCCCAGGCAATCTCCGACTACTATGCATCACCCAGCTCCATTCAGATACCTAGTCATGCAAGGTTCCTTTCTTCAACATACATCTCCAACCCTTTCCCCAAATAGTCCCTCGAGTCGCCACGGAGCCACAGACAGGAAATGGGGCTGGAGCCCCTCCAATCCAACCCTGTTCGGAGCCTCGGGCGTCACAACCTGGGCTGCAGGTCCCGGGGTCTCTGGGATCCTGCCGGTTCTGCTTCACTGGCCCGGGGTTGACCGGCAGGGACACATCGGGGCAGGATGGTCCTCGGATGTGATCACTGGAGTGGAGGCGGCAGGTGGGCCTGGCAACCCAGACCCCGCACGGCCCGCACACGCCACGTCAGGCCGTACCTGGCTCGTAGCGTCGCCGGCCGCGGCACTCAGGAGGCGGCACCCTGGGTCGGGGTCCGAGCTGGGCTCGGCCTCCCTTCTCGGACCTCACCCGCAGCCGCCGCCCCCGCCCAAGCGCCTTCTGATTGGCTCCTTGCGTGTCTGCTTCCGGGTGAGAGTTTGCCCGGTCGCCCCAGCAACCGAGCCCCGCTCTGTCCTAGCGCCCTGCTCGCTGGGAGGCTGCAGAGCTGGCGAGCCCGGGGGAATCGCAGAGTCGCGACAGTCTGTCCGAAACGTCTCTGTCAAGTGAGTGCACTTCCTCCGAGGCCGCTGGGGAAGGGCGCCTTTACCTAGAGCGATGGACCCGGAGCCAGCCGCCGCGTCCACACTGTGGTGCAGCGCCTCCGACAGCCCGGCCTCTGGGAATCCGGAGACGTGGCGTGGGCCTCCGAGTCTGTCGTTGGTTCACTGTGTCTATGTTTCCCTTACGGTGCCAGACCGTAGCAATCACAGCGGTTCCTTGCTAGCTCACTTAATCCAGTGCCTTGAAAGTGGAAACGTCACCCCTTTATTTACAGATACTTTATTAGTTTCTGCAATCAAACGCACATAGATTGATTAAACCTTACATATTTAATACACTGAAGTGACCCCTGTATAGATGGAAAGAAATTAAGCTTAATGTTTCTAGACTAATATGGCTGCTGATTTCTGCACAATGCCAACTCAACACCGGTAAAATGGGGTACCCCCCCAAGTTGAAACCACTGCTAAAGTTTGAAAAATTCAAATTATATGTGTATATATATCCTTATATAAACATATATATACACCAATAATAGCAGTATGTTATGCATCGATAATAACAACGATTTTTCCAGAACCCGCAGTCATCTGAACAAAATTGTAGACGTCCAGCATCACCTTAAAAACAGAACAAACAAACAAAACCCACCGAACAACCAGAAAAAAAGCACAGGTTTGTGACTGCTGCGGTGCCGGCACCATATTTTTATTGTTTATTAGCCTCTCAATCATCTGGAAAGAAAACATCCTGAGTAATATCGTTACAACCATCTTTGCAAAGCTACTATTGCATCTTATAAAGCAGGACTAAGATATTTTTACATTCACAGAAGTATGCTACATCGCTGCCCCACATCGGTAACACTAGAGGACACAAAAGGCGTCTGAGACTCGATTCCCGCAGACTTCCAGCAGAGGGCGTGAGAAAGCTCTGTAAAGCCATGTGCTCTAGTACAGGATTTTCTTTCAGTGGTGGCCCAGTATAAGGCACTGCTCTCTCATGAACATCAGCCAAAAACCATTATTAAAAGCAAACAAACAAACAAAAAAAAAAGGAAAATTTCCCCCCAAATAAGATTGTACAAGACCGAACTCATAAAACTGCACAAGACATGGATGGACATTTGAAGAGCGGCTGAGGACTTCCTCAGTTTCTTGTATGATGGGTTCTGTTTAGTAGCGTCCTGCTTAGCAGGTGCTTACTGGTTGCGCCTCAAGGGCCATTCATCCCCTAACTAGGCATTTTCTGGTAGTACTCAATACTGAGCAGGGTGGTGGGATGGGAGAGAGATGTAACTGCTCCATGGCTGCTGTTTTAGTGGCAGTCACCAGAGACCAGACACAAAGGTTTCAAGAGGACCCTGAGTTCTGAGACTAGAGGAGCTTAGGGGTGAGAAGAATAAAGACTGGGAGAGAGGCCTCATCTGAGCGAGGGTGACAGAATACCAATAGGTAGTGTCTACAGTTAGACACTAGCCTTCATGGCTTATACAGGCTCATCCACTTAGTGTAAGGATGAGGAGATTGAGCTGTGAGCCATTTGCCGTAGGCCAGAGAAATCTAGGACTCTAGGAAGTCTAAGGCCGGAGCACGGACCACTGTATTCTGTGTCCAGCTCCAGAATGAGTGGTAGTTTGTCAGCCAGAGAGGCCATGCCTGCTTCAGGGAGCACAGCACGGCTCCTGTGGGCACCGCAAGCAGATCTGGAACTCCGATAAGCATTGTTAAGCACTCAGAGCAGTTCTGTGTCTCTGTCCTTTCACAACTTCATACTTTGATTGTATCTCTGTTTCCATTTGAGAGCTGGGCTGACCTAAGGCTTTCTCCTAAGGCCCTGATGTATGGAGAGAGAACACAGCTCTTTGTCAAAACCAGGGGTATGCTTGGCAGAGCCAGTAATAGTCTAGGGCCGGGACTCTGGGAACTCCCCCCCCCCCCCCCCCCCCCCCCGAGGCTCTGATGTATAAATTAAAAACATAGCTCCTTCTCCAAAACTGAGAAAATGCTTGGCAGAGATGTTAATGACCAGGGATCAGGGCCTTGGAGGAGCTGTGGCTTTGGAGCAAGATCCCAGCTCTTTCTATCCTAAGGGGCTATGGTTAACAATCCCAAGGCCATATTCCTAACAATACAAAAGTAATAGTATTTGGGGTTGGAGAGATGGTTCAGTGGTTAAGAGCACTTGTTGCTCTTGCAGAGGACCTGGGTTCAGTTCCTAGGACCTACGTGGTGGCTCACAACCATCTGTAACTCTGCTTTCAGGGAATCTTTTGCTCTCTTCTGACTTCTGAGGGCACCAGGCAGAGATGCGATGCTCACACATACATTCAGGCAAAACACCCATACACATAAAACAACAACAATTTTTTTCAAGACAGGGTCTACTTAGTGAGTTCCAAGCCACTAACTGGCTACATTGGTGAGATCCTGTCCCCACCAAAAAATGAATTTTATACTAATAAAGTTTTAAGAAGTAAATAAAAATAGATCATCTATGCAAAATTATTTATTTTCTCAGGACCTCACACCAGACAATGGAAATGCCAGTTAGGAGGTGCTTGCACCCACGTGAAGAGACGTGAAGAGAATTTACCTGAATAATGCTGAAAGCACACATTTATTATAAGTTTTGTGACATTAAAATACTTAAATTTACCTTTGTTTTCTTCAATCTCTTAAAGCATCTTCAGAAGTATGTAAGATCAAGTTTATATTTCCAAATGGCGACAAGTATGGTGAGCATGCATTTTAATTACCTTTTCATACAGAAAATTCCATAGTTTAGGATTTTGAAAACGAGACTCACTCACTTTATAAAACTATTATTGGCATATTATCTCACTTAAAGGGAATAACAGACATCCCAATAGACGTATAGACATTTAAATCAAAACTGTTCCATCTAGACAGGATACCTTAGAACCACGTGGAATCTGTCCTCCGTTCTGACTCCTTAGTTTTAGTCCTTTGAAGCCGGAAAACCAAAGACCAAAGGAAACCCGCACATGGGTTGGGGGCAGTGGTGGATAGGCTTCTATGTGGCTGTTACATGGACCTAGTCCACGCCCCCCGCTTCAAAGCCGCAGGCTCCTTTCCTCATTAGATGGTGACTGTACGAGAACATCTTCTGGGATCTACGAGAGAAACGGGACAGGCATCCACACCACTCCTGACGGGATTGTCTACACGGGAAGCTGGAAAGATGACAAGGTATTGTGATCACCTTTCACTCTGCTGGTGGAGAAACCATCCCGTGGGTGAAGTGATTCTAAGCGGTTCATTCTTGGTCAAATGCATTATTAAAGCTAGCTTAGCATCTCACAGCTGTGATGGCATTCCGTAGGGGGCCGAGGATGAGGACCTCAGGTTTCTGGGCTGTGTAGTGAGACCTGTGTGTACACTAGCCTCTATAGAGAAGATAAATGGTTTTACTTAGCATCTGTTACTCTATACATAATATTACACTCATGAAGAGAGCTAATATTATCTTTCTCAGCTCCCATTCATTGAGTAAAGCCAAACACATTATTTTTTCCATTTATCTTTAACAACTTTATAAAATGAGTCCTATTAATACTATTTGTTTATTTATTATGTATACAGTGTTCGCTTGCATGTGTCCCTGCAGACCAGAAGAGGGCACCACATCTCATTACAGGTAGTTGTGAGCCACCATGTGGTTGCTGGGAATTGAACTTAGGACCTCTGGAAGAGCAAGCAGCCAGCCAGTGCTCTTAACTGCAGAGCCATCTCTCCAGCCCCAATATTTATTTATTTATTTATTTTAAAGATTTATTTATTATGTATACAATATTCTGCCTCTATGTATGTCCACACTCCAGAGCAGGGCGCCAGATCTCAGTACAGATGGTTGTGAGCCACCATGTGGTTGCTGGGAATTGAACTCAGGACCTCTGGAAGAGCAGCCAGTGCTCTTAACCTCTGAGCCATCTCTCCAGCCCCAATACTTTTTTTTTTTAATAGATGAGGCAAATCAGACTCAGGTTTTTTTGTACAGATGGTAAGTGATAAAGTAGGAATGTGTACCCGGCTCTATTTGAATATAAATTCACCTTTAAAAATATTATATGTATTATTTATTATTAAATATTAAATTTTATACTATTAAAATTATTATATGTATTAAATGTATTTATCTATGTGTGAGTGCCACAGCATTTGTGAGATGGTCTCTCTGTCCACCATATGATAGCCTGGGATCAAACTTGTCAGACTTGAGCAAGCACACTTCCTTCCTGAGCTTCATGCCCAGCTTTTCACTCTAAACTCAGGTTTATTTTTAATGTGGTAGGCTCTTTTTCCACTGCACCATCACTCTGCACCAAATTCACATTATTATCATCATCATCATTATTTTTTTTTCAGTACGGGGTTTCTTTTCATGTTGCCCTGGCTGTCTTGGAACTCACTCTGTAGACCAGGTGGACCTCGAACTTACAGAGATCCGCCTGCCTCTGCCTCCCGAGTGCTGGGATTAAAGGTGTGTGCCACCACCGCCCAATCAAATTCATTCTTAACAACTACTTTGAACTGTTCTGAAGTGACAACACCAGTTGCTCTTTAAGAGTTCTGATGTACTTAGGTATCTTGAGGATCCTGGTTATCATCACCTTGGTTCCCCATATGTCCAGATACCCCAATATCCAGAACATTTGAGTCAGTAGGCTTCTCAGAAAGAACAGGGGAAGAATCATGGTAAAGCGTCTACAGGGGTGACACGAAAATGATGGGAACAGTGTTACTGGTAGGCTGGTGTGTGTGGTGAAGGCTGGTGTCTGGGAACAGTGTTACTGGTAGGCTGGTGTGTGTGGTGAAGGCTGGTGTCTGGGAACAGTGTTACTGGTAGGCTGGTGTGTGTGGTGAAGGCTGGTGTCTGGGAACAGTGTTACTGGTAGGCTGGTGTGTGTGGTGAAGGCTGGTGTCTGGGAACAGTGTTACTGGTAGGCTGGTGTGTGTGGTGAAGGCTGGTTTCTGAGTGTCTCCTTTCTTACAAACAGATGAATGGCTTTGGGAGACTTGAGCATTTTTCAGGAGCCGTGTATGAAGGACAATTTAAGAACAATATGTTTCACGGTCTGGGGACTTACACATTCCCAACTGGGGCAAAGTACACTGGAAATTTCAATGAAAACAGGTAACCTTAAAATTTAAGAACAATACAATTCTAAAAGATTCTCTTTAGTTGTGCTTTTTAAGTAGTATATTTATTAATTAATGCTGAATAATCTTTGTGGCATATTTGATCTCCACAAAAGGTTGAGTTATCTTAGTGGTTGGGAAATGTAAGAGGAGAAGCTGTGAAAATTATAGCCTTTTAAAATGGAATATTATTTTTGTAAAGTTTATTAGCCACTTCCCACCCTCACCCTTCCAGACAGGGTTTCTCTGTATAGCCCTGGCTGTACCAGAACTCACTCTGTAGACTAGGCTGGCCTCAAACTCACTGAGATCTACCTACCTCTGCCTCCCAAATGCTAGGATTAAAGGTGTGCACCACTACTGCCTGGCTTTTAACACAGCCTCTGTGGTCTCTGTTAGTGTAGACCATTTGAGCAATGTGTGATTCTTGAGCAAATTTAACCCAAAATTATTTAAGTGAATAATTTTTACTTAAAGTATCTCAGTTTGTATTTGTAAAAAAAGCAGGCCTGTGGCTAATTTCATAATGATTTATTTCATTCTGACCTGATGTGTGTGAGCATTTTTATTATGCTAATTTTAAAGTGTAAGCAAAATTAGACAATGTTAAATTGCTGTCATTTATGAGCATATGACTGCAGAAATAAAATGAAATGAGACATAGATATAGCTTTATAAACTTAATACCATGCCACTGGAAAGTTCCTTACTGGGTGGGGGCGCAGTTTAGTGATAGAGGCTTGTGTAGCATGCATGAAGCTTTAGGTTCAAACCCCAGCACCATATAAAATCAGGCATGGTAGCATATGCCTGTAATCCTGAAACCTGAGAGTTGAGGCTCAGAAGTTCAGTGTCAGCCATGGCTCTATGGAGAGTTTGAGGCCAGCCTGGGCTACATGAGACCCTGTCTCAAAAGGAAAATAAAGTTTGTTTATTAAGTATCTCTTTCATATGTCTAGAAATGAAAATGCTATCTAATCATTATGAAGTCAGTGTGGAAACGTTTCTAAAGGGACAGAATGGTATTCTCCTCTTAGGACTCCAGGATTCTAACAAGGACACAGAAACTGCTTCCACTGATAATGATAAAGGGAGAAACGGCAATGCGTGGGATACATGAGTGTGTTTTCACCCCTACGGTAGGGCCCAAAGAACACCACCCAAGCACAGCACTTCGAACAGAGCTGATGATGCAGAAACAAATAAATGTTAAATAAATGAATGTTTGGGTTGAGCCAGATAGCAAATTTGTAGTGTGTATTTTCAAGTTTGAGGTGATTGTTTGCTTTTGTAAAGTTAGTTTATCTGACCCTGAAACCATGAGCACCAAAACGTACATAGAGACAGTGTTGGTTTGAAGTCGTGTGTTTTCCTAGTGTATGGACGCAGGGTACTGGTTCTCAATAGAAATCGGAAGCAGAAAGGTAAAATGCCTTAGACAGGCTGTGTAGTATATAGGCCAGACAGTGTGTCTGCAGTGTAAGTGACCAGTCCTAGTTAGCAAGCACGCTCACCTGTCACTTCTGCAGGGTGGAAGGTGAGGGCGAGTACACGGACATCCAAGGCCTTCAGTGGAGTGGCAACTTCCACTTCACAGCTGCTCCTGGACTGAGACTGAAGCTCTACATGTAGACATGCTGACTGGGCTAGTGCCGAGATGCGGCCACCGCAACTCCCTTGTAGGCAAAGCAGTTAGTCACCTGAAATTACCTGCACCCCGCTGTAAGTTTACCAATAAAACCGTTACTCACTTATGCTTTTTTTGAATTTGTGTGTGTATGTGTGTGTGCTCATGTGTGTGTTCTTGTGCATGTGTGTGAATATATGTGTGTGTGCACATGTGTGTGAATATATGTGTATGTGTGTGAATATATGTGTATGTGTGTGCTCATGTGTGTGTTCCTGTGCATGTGTGTGAATATATGTGTATGTGTGTGCACATGCGTGAGTATTTGTCCATGCAGTTGTATGTGGAAGTCAGAAGGTGATGTCAAAATGTACTTTCCACCACTTCTCACCTAAAAAAATATTTTTTTAGACAGGTTCTCATTATATAACCCTGACTGATTGAGGCTGGCCTCAAACTCACAGAGATCCACTTACCCCCCCCCCCCCCCCATTCCCCATGAATTCTGGGATTAAAGGCATTTGCCACTACCTTATTTTGAGACAGTATCTCTCACTGAACCTGGAACCTGCAGTTTCTGTCAGATTGGCTGGCCAATGAGCCCCCATGATCCTCCCGACTCTACACAGCATTCCTAACTAGCACTGTTCTAACAGGCAGATGCCACCATGTCTGGGCAGTGAATCTGATGTCCTCAGGTTTGCAAAGCAAGCCCCTTGCCCACTGAACTATCAACCCAACTCTTTAATTTTGTTTTTATTAGCAAATAACTTTTAAATAAGTTGTGTGAGTCAAATCAAAGTTTATCCATTTTGCCGGGTGATGGTGGCGCACGCCTTTAATCCCAGCACTCGGGAAGCAGAGGCAGGTGAATCTCTGTGAGTTCGAGACCAGCCTAGTCTACAAGAGCTAGTTCCAGGACAGGCTCCAAAACCACAGAGAAACCCTGTCTCAAAAAACCAAAAAAAAAAAAAAAGTTTATCCATTTTTTAAAGATTTATTTACTGATTGATTGTACATGGGTGTTTTACCTGTATATACTCTGTGTGAGGGTGTCGGATCCCCTAGAACTAGAATTACAGACAGTTGTGAGCTGCCATGTGGGTGCTGGGAATTGAACCCAGGTCCTCTGGAAGAGCAGCCAATGCTCATGAACCGCTGAGCCATCTCTTCAGCCCAAGTTTATGCATTTTTAAAAATGGAGAAGTACCCTTCAGACTGTGCTTAAGTCAATTTCTAACTCTGTACCTCAAATTTTGTCAACCCCTCCCCTCAGTTTGTGCTTTCAAGGTTATTTCAGAAGAAAAACATTTTTCATGAGTTATCTTACAGATTATGCAGTCAGTTGCTCCCCATCAAAATGATTTGCTGTCGCGGTGAAGCTTAACCCGAGATCTGTCTTTTAGAGAAGAACCTGGGTGCAGAGCACTGTTGCTGCCTGTAGCTGCCTCACTGTCAGCATATCCTGGAGCCCATGCCTGGCCGATGCCTTATTTCCATAGTCTAGTCTCTCCCGTTCCCTCCCCTCTGACCCCAGCAGCCACTGTTCTCTTCTCTGGTTCTAGGAATGTGGCTGTCTTGCATACCTTATATAAACGGAGTCATGCAGCATTTGACTGGCCCTTCTCCTACCTCCGAGGAGCCAGCTGTGCTATCACCTGTTGCAAAATTCCTTCCTCATGAAACGCTGCGTACAGTTTATCTCTTATAGGACATTCAAGTGTATGTGTATGTGTGTGGCTTGGCTATTGTGAATAGAGCTGCAGCGACGTACGACTGGTTGCTCCTCTGAGGTCTGATGTCAGCATCTGTGGACGAGTGTCCAGCAGGAGTGCTGGGTGACACCGTAGCTCTGCTTTGTCCTTGAGGCTCCTCCGTGCTGGTTTCCACCGTGGTCACACCACTTTGTCTCCGCACTCACAGTATGTGAGGCTCAATTTTTCCACACCCTGAACGACATTGTCTTGGTCTCGCATCCAGCAGCATGGTTTTCTTTTTAATTCTCAAATAATTAAGAGTTCCCTATGTATTTTTTCAAAAAACTCTTTTTTTTATTTTTATTTTTTATTTTTCGAGACAGGGTTTCTCAGGCTGGCCTTGAATTCACAGAGATCTGCCTGCCTTTGCCTCCAGAGTGCTGGGATTAAAGGTGTGCACCGTCACCGTCTGACTTCAAATGATTTATTTTTAAGAAAAGATGTATTTATTTACTAATTAATTTGTTTGTTTATTTAGTGTGTGTGTGTGCATGTGTGTGTGCCCAGGTTCCCATAGAGGCCAGAAGAGGATCAGATGCCGTGGAGTTGCAGTTACAGGCTTTTGTGAGCCCCCTGATGTGGGTGCTGTGGTCCGAACTCTGGGCCTTGTGGCTGGGTGGCAAGTGTTCTTTATAGATGAGCCAGCTGTCTCTCCAGTTTCAGATTAACCTTTTGAAATATGACCGGTCCACAGGTTTGCCTCTTCAGTCTGTCGTTCGCTTTGCTATTCAGAGATTCTGGTTTAGTATATGCTTCTTGTCTATTTTCAAATTGGTCGCCTGTGACTTTGGTGTCATGCATCATCACCAAGACCGAGTTCATCCCATACACAGCATGGGATATACCCCTAAGCTGCAAAGATGTTTCAACATATGAAAGTCAGACAGTGTGATAGAACATATGGATGGAATAAAGGATTGAAAAACCATATGCTCAGGGCTGGAATATGGCTCAGCCTTCAAGAGTGATTGCTGTTCTTGCAGAAGACCCAGTTTTGGTTCCCAGCACCCACATTGGGCAAAACTGCCTGTAACTCCAGCTCCAAAGGAATCTAATATCTTCTTCTGGTCTCCATGGATCTCTCCAACACACCCCCGTGAAATTAAAAGGACATATTTTAAAATCACATAATTGGCCATGTGTGGTGTCATACACCTCTAATCCCAGCACTTGGGAGATAGCGGGCAAGTGGATCTCTGTGAGTTTGAGCCAGCCTGATCTACATAGAAAGTTCCAGGCAATCCACAGCTGGGGAGGTAGTGAGTTTCAGAACAGGCTCCAAAGATGCAGAGAAACCCTGTCTCGAAAAACAAAACAAATAAGAAAAAAAAAAAAAGCCCATGCAGCACCGACTGGACTCAGCAAGATTTTTTTTTAAAAAGACATAAAGCTGGGTATTGGCATAAGAACAGACAGGAGGACCAATGGAACCGAATAGAAGACCCAGATATCAATCCACACATCTTCAAACACCTGATCTTTGATAAAGAAGCAAAAAATATCAAATGGAAAAAAGAAAGCATATTTAACAAGTGGTGCTGGCATAACTAGATATCAATATGTAGAAAAATGAAAATAGACCCATATCTATCACCATGCACAAAACTCAAGTCCAATGGATCAAAGACCTCAACATAAAGCCAGCCATACTGAACCTTATAGAAGAGAAAGTGGGAAGTACACTTGAACTCATTGGCACAGGGAACCACTTCCTAAATAGAACACCAGCAGAACAGACACTGAGAGAAACAATTAATAAATGGGACCTCCTGAAACTGAAAAGCTTCTGTAAAGCAAAGGGCACGGTCAACAAGACAAAATGACAGCCTACAGAATGGGAAAAGATCTTCACTAACCCCACATCAGACAGAGGTCTGATCTCCAAAATATACAAAGACATCAAGAAATTGGACACGGGCAGGCGAATGGCCTCTGCAGACGACGGGGACCAGTGAGGACCAGCGCGCAACACCGAGAGCAGATTGCCCCACTACAATTAAATTGCCTTTGGTTGGCGAGGTCCCTGGCAAAGGAGGAGCCAGGTCCTGTGCCTGAAGACCCTTCTGAGGGGTGAGAGGGATCTTGGCCCCTGGCAGGAGCCAGGAAACAGAGCGAGGGCATTTTGTAAGAGGAGCCCCTGACCAGCAGGGAAACCTGATCCGGTTTTAAAAGACCAATTAAATAGCATCGATAGGAGGAGATGGGCAGGCGCCAAGGCAAGAATTCACCCAATAATCTGAAAAACAACATGAAAACACCAGAACCCAATGATCTTACAACCGAAGGTCTTTGACACCCTAACACAGAAGAAGTGGAAAAAAATTGACTTTATGAAAGCAGTAGAGTCCCTTAAACAACATGTGAAAAATGCCCTTAAAGAAATGGATGAGAAGTATAACCAAAAGTTTGAAGAAATGAGTAAATACGTACATGATACCCTGGGAAACCAAGAAAAAAAAACGATCAAACAGGTAATGGAAACAGTTCAAGAAGTGAAAACTGAAATGGAAGCAAGAAAGAAAACACAAACTGAGGACCAGCTGGATATGGAAAATCTAGGTCAATGAGCAGAGCCTACAGAAACAAGCATAATCAATAGAATACAAGAAATAGAAGAAAGAATCTCAGATTCCAAGGACACCATAGAGAAAATAAATGCACTGATCAAAGAAAACAACAAAGCCAACAAATTCTCATCACAAAACATTCAGGAAATATGGGACACAATAAAAAGATCAAACCTAAGAATAATAGGAATAGAAGAAGGAGAAGAGTCACAGCTCAAAGGCCCAGAAAATATTTTTAACAAAATTATGGAAGAAAACTTTCCTAACATAAAGATATTCCTTTGAATATTCAAGAAGTATACAGAACACCAAACAGACTGGATCAAAGAAAAACATCCCCTCGCCATATAATAATCAAAACACTAAATATACAGGTTAAAGAAAGAATATTAAGAGCTGCAAAGGAAAAAGGCCAAGTAACTTATAAAGGTAAACCGATCAGACTTACACCTGCTTTCTCTATGGAAACCATGAAAGCTAGAAGGTCCTGGATAGAAGTACTGCAGAAGCTAAGAGACCATGGATACAAACCCAAACTACTATACCCAGCCAAGCTATTGTTCACTATCAATGGAAAAAACAAGACATTCCAGGATAAGAACAAATTTAAACAATACGTAGCCACAAATCCAGCCCTACAGAAAGTAATAGAAGGAAAATCGCAACCCAAGGAATCCAACATTGCCAACACTGCCTACAATAACTGAGGCATCTAGCGACCCTTCACCAGCACAACTCAAAGAAGGGAGACACACAAACTCTACTACCAAAAACAATAAGAATAACCGGAGTA